AGTTGCTTGTTTAGGTCTTCTAACAATACACTTGTAACATCTACAATGATAAGGGAAGTGGAGAGTGCTATGGAACCATGTAATAGGGACAGGTAACCCAGACTTGGTAGGGTTACATCAAACTGTAACTCTCGAATCCAACATATTTTTCTTGGTTAGACATTTCTTTACTCCTGCTGCAGCCAGAACTGTTGTGCTAGATTCAACATGTTCCCTGCAACTCTTAACTTCTGTGCTATGTCATGTCTGATAGAGACACTGGTGAACAATGTCTGAGATTGTTAAGTGGGCTTCGCTTCTGTGCCTGATAAGCCAGAGGCCCAAGACACACCGACAAGGGCGAGGTTTTCTCTAAGTGACGGTTTGATCACCTTGATGAATTGTGAGAGAAAGCTGCTTGAAGCAGGATCCCACCTCCTGGTCTGGAAGCTCGGGGAAGGAGGTTTTGGAGAATTTAGAACTCAGACCTTTGAATCACTTTCGTCCAGTATCGGGTAATAAGAGCTTAACTATGCAGCCAGTCTGAAAATAATTAAGACTTAGGTCAAGTTGGAGAGATGACAGAGGCTTTGGGCTTCCTGACTTCCAGACTATGGAATTCCTGACAGAAGAATATCTGAACAATTTTAAAGATGCCTAAGATAGGATATTTTACAGCCTCTCTGGCTTGTTTTGGACAATTCTGGCCTGAATTGTCAAAGATGCTGGGACAATTAGCTCCCTGCGTGTTATTCCTATATGCTTCTTCCTGAGTTTGCCTGTGTAGTTTTGTGATAGACTGCAGATTTCCAGAAAGCAGCAAGTTATGTTGCTTCTCTAGCCAAGAATATAGCACAGTGACACACATGCCCAGTACTTTAGGATGGCCTAGTGTTCCCAACGGGGAGCATCCACCAAATTGGCACAGGTTGCTGCCCCATGGACTACGGGTGGGTGATGCTGAAATTAACCATACCTTCCCTCAGCCTGTGCCCAAATTGTTGAGCGTCACCAGCACACCTCCTGTTTGGCCAGTCACTGGAATGCTTTCC